GAAGGAAGGAAGGAAGGAAGGAAGGAAGGAAGGAAGGAAGGAAGGAACCTGGAACTAGAGAAATGGTTCAGGGGTTCCAAGCACTTACTTTTCTTCAAGAGGCTCAAGTTCATTTTCCAGCACACACATCAGGTAACTCCAACTCCAGAATATCTGACACTCTCTTTGTGCCTCTATGGAACACCCACACCCACTCTCATACACACAAAAAAAAGAAAAAAAAACTTAAAATAAAAAGTAACCTGATGTTAACTGATCAGCTTTTCTCACTATTGTTTTTCTGTCCCAATTTTACAAAACCCACTGTTCAGCTGGTGTCCAGTGTAAAGTGCTCACGCACTTTACAGATTGGGGGTTAATGAATTAGGGGTCTGTAACTACATTTAGCACACTTCTGTTTTCTGACCAGGGTAAAACTAGAAGAGAATGAAGCTTGACTGCACAAGGGCACAAGGTTATGAGCATGTACAAGGTGAGCTTCTGAAGATGAATGTAAGCTATATTAAGAGGCTGACCGTACACTTTAAATGATGTGTGCTACCTCGATTACATAATCACGGACTCGGTATGGGTCTGAGCTAGGTCCTCAGCATATGCCTTAGTGTTATATAGTTTGGTGTTCTTATGAGACTCAACAGTGGAAGCGTCTCTAACTCTTTTGCCTGCACTTAGAACTCTTTTTCTCCTACTGGGTTGCTTCGTCCAGCCTTGATATGAGGGTTTGGGCCCAGTCTTACTATAGCTTGTTAGGCCATGTTCAGTGGATACCCCTGGGAAGCATGCTTTTTTTTTTTTTTAATGGAAAGGGAAAAGTGGATCTGGGGGAGAGAGGGTGGAGAGAAGGAGTGGAGGGAAGGGAAACTATGGTTAGGATGTAATACACAAAAGAACAAAAGTCTTTTTTTTTAAATAAAAAAGATGTTTTAAAGAAAAAATAATGGGTAATTATACCAATAAATACTTTTCTGAGACAGGATAATAAGATGTGTCAAATACTGAAAAATATAACAAATGCTTGATTTACTATTATGTTCCAGTATAATATTGAGACAATATAAATTTCAATAAAATATAAAATGATTATCTGATATAGATGTAAAAGACTATATTAAAAGAATAAAATAAACGCCAAATGAAAATTATTAAAATGTTAAAAGATATTATCATAAGCATTTAGCATCATTCTTAAAATTGAAAAATTTAACCATAAAAGGTGCTACTTTTCCTATACAATAGTCTTGGAGGATTCACAAACAAATGCAAAGTAGAATTTTAACACCTAAATTATCCCCTCTTATAAATGAATTTTGAAATTCTGTATGAACAGGCTTCCATGAGGAACTAAATATTTTACCACAAATATGCACATAAAGCTATTCAAAGAATGAATCATTTTTTATTTTAAGATAAAATGGGCTTATATTTATGTGCTCTTTTATTTATTTCATAAAATTTATTATAAAGTTTGCAAATAAATGGAAAAAAGCGCATACCCTTTCTATTAAACTTTCATATGGAAACTGCTTCCACTAATATGTGAAACAAAAACCAGTAATACAATTTTAAGACTTTCTTCACATAATTAAACACTTATTCTAGGAGGATGTCAGAATGGAAGCATGACTTGACTCTCTAAATCTCCCCCATAAAAGCCCTCAATGTAAACAGAAAACAAAAGCAAACACATCAACAGTTATGACAAAGCCAGTAAGGACTTTATGTGAGAGCGGTGAAACTCACAATACTGCAATGACAAAAACAGGGCAAAAAAAAAATGTGGCAGTCATGCTTACAGA